CTTTTGTTGGAAAAAAAAATAGTAATTTTCTCTGCAATTTCTGTCTCCTTTAAAGACAGGGAATGGACTACTGTCACAGAATTGTAATGACTAATCTCTTCTTGTTCCCTTTATGTCGGGTATTATTAATACTTATCACTATGTTGTGCCTAGGAAATTAAAAGACCTGAAGTAGCCTGACAGGACTGAATGTTTTATGTACATTAGAAATTTGGCTTAGGGAAATGTATATCTCAGTCACAACCATAAGAAACTGGAAGTGATTATGCATAAGTTTGAGAACTATATTTCAAACTGATTTATTTTCTTTGAAATAAGCACTACAGAGATTAAAAAAAATTAGAAATGCAGTGCTCTCTTATTCCACAGAAAGGGCAGGAAGCCTCCTACCCTAAGCAGTGATCATTTGCGTGTATGCCATAAGATAATTTCCTGTGTAGGGAAAGAAACTACAGACTCAAGATAAAATTCAGCTTGCACCTCCAAGGATAACAGAGGGGCTTTGCTGAGCCTTCCATAAGGGAGCAATGCATCATGTTTGTTCAATATTGAGCCCTTTCTGTTTGTCAGAAGCAATCACTATTTTGGCAAGTTCTGAACATTTCTGTCTCACTAAAAGTTCTGACTTTTTTTCTTAGTTTGCTCTCCACAATAATTTATTTTAAGCATTGCACTACTACTTGGTATAGAATCAAAATTGTAGAATCATAGAATGGTTTAGGATGGAAGGGACCTTGAAATTCATCTAGTTTCACCCCCATTGCAATGAGTAGGGACACCTTTCACCAGATCAGTTTGTTCAAAGCCCCATCCAGCCTGGTCTGGATGGTCCCTCCCCATCTTTCCTGTAGGATCCCTTTAGGTATTAGAAGGCCACTATAAGGTCTGTCCAGACAGATAGGGCAATTCAATACAGAAGACATTAAATGTGTATTTAACTGGAGAGCCTCTGTACAGAAAGAAGTTATTTAAAGCTACTGTGATTAAATAATATATTTTAGTCTGGACTGAGGAAACTATGGTTTACTTCCAGAAGTGAGTCTGGCTCCTCCCTCTTTCCGTCTTGCAAGCTGAGAGCCAGAGATGATGGCTGTTAAGTCTAGCACATGTTTCATACTTGCAATGAGGCTTTTGAGCTGTGGAAAGAGAAATGTTGTCTCCAAAACACCAAGTTTAAAGATGGGAAGGATGGTTGTAGTAGTAAGCCTCTCATGATGACTCTGTTCTCATTCCTGATGCTGATAGAAAGTCACTGGCTTATTCTCTGAACAAGCCTACTCTCTTAGTTAGGACTTCTGAATATTATTTGTATATTTGTATATAAACAGCTGTCTTTGTCTGGAGAACAGGTAGTTAAAAAAAATAAATCCTCTTCCACAAAAATGAGATTAAAGCACCTGTTTTTTTTCCTCCTCATGAGGAAAGATAGCTTTTAGCTGTCCTGAACTAAATCAATGGCTTCCAGATACGGCTTCATTCCAGATACCAAACAGAAATGGAAATTTTCCCACCCTTCCAAATAAGAGTCAAGTCAGTATAGATCTTAGCAGTCTGACGCAGAGCTGGGACAGGATCTATTAACTTGTATCTGCTGAAGATCTTGTCTCTTACTGTGCTAAAGAAACATAGCGCAGCTATGCAGCTTTTGGTGCTTAGCTAAAGGACCTCAGCTGAAAGGGGTTTATTTTTTCAGTGGTGAAACAAGTTGTCTCCCAGACGTGCTGTCTGACATTGATTAGACAATAGTTGTGCTGAAGCCAGAACATTCTATCAAAGGTTTTGTGCCTTCCTGTAGAGCAGGAAATGTAAAGCACTTTATGTGTAAAAAGAAATATTAATATTGAAGCTAAAAGTCATAGGGAAAAAGAATTAGTAACAAGAAACAGCTTTAGGTGCATATTCTTTTTTCCTGAATGTGCAAAAAGTTTAGGGGCTCTATGTGTATCTTGCAGTTATTAAAAGAAAAACACTTAAAGCTCTCTAATGTAGCACAGACTCTGTTGTGTTTGGAAACAGAAGTTTGATCACTGTTGTGGGAAAGTCTTTGTCTGGGCTGCCTTGTGCCAATCTGGTATCAAAGCTGGACTTGATTGCTTTGCTTGTCTGCAGTGCTTGGGAGTCTATTAGTGAATCCATAAGAGATTCACTGAACAGCTACATTTTATGGCTAACTTTGTTCAGTATTAGATGCCTCATACAGCAGATTAATGATTCAGACAGCCACATCTTGACTTCAGTGAGATCTTAATGGGATTTCTTTCTGGATGATTCAAATGTTTGAAAACCCCAGATCTGCCACAATAACAACAGTGTTCACCTCTAGTGTCTTCACCTTGAAAACATCTTTGAACACCTTAGCAAAACTTTAGAATGCACCTGGGATTGAGAAAACTTTCTTGGATATACTCCTTGTGTAATCATGAAAAGCTGAGTCTCGATCCTGTCCATGCCACCACCTTTGGACAAGAACTCCAGATTCATGTCTGTGTACACTGGGCTCCTGATCGCACCGTGTTCTGTAATAGAGGAAAAAAAAAAAAAGTCCTTGTGCAAGTCCTCTTTCCATGGACTACCAGAGGGCTCTCTGGCAATCCACAAGGCATTTGCAGACTTGAAGTATCTCTAGACCAAAATGCTGGATGCACGCATGCTTTTCCTTCCCACTGCTGGGAATCTTGCACAGATTCAGGGGTTGGAAATTTGCTCCCCTCTCCTCTTTCCTCACCCCCAGGTCCCTCTGCCTTTAGCAAAAGCCACTTAAAAACAGCTCTCTCTAGCAATCTTTGGAGACATCTCTTAACCCCTCCCTGAGCTTAGACATCTCTTAACCCCTCCCTGAGCTTAGACCTGCTTTGTTGCTTCTAATCACATCCAGAAGACTGCTTCCTAGCCAAGTTTGAGGAGTTGAAAAACTAAGTTATTGATTCATTGATGCTTGTTTAGTTGGAACATATCCATAGAACAAGAATAACTGCAGATAATAAAGTCCCAGTGAATAGCTAGGCAGATGCATTTGTCATGGTGAGGAACACACTTAATATGGAAATCTATAGGAGAAATCTGAAGAGGAAATCAAGGTTATTTAGAGATAAGCAACAGATTTATGCACGCATGCAAGTAGATTTCCTCCCTGATAAGCACCACCTCCTGTGTCTGTTATGTGATGTTTTTCTGTTACTCAGGCTCTGAAAACAGTTGTCTATAGCGTATTGCATGTAAACATGCAGTGGCATATCATGAGTGATTGGTAAAGCATGGTCTATATTTCAAGAATGGAAACATACTCCATATGCCGTGGCTTAGGGATTTCCCAAGATCTAGAGTCGAAATAGATGCTACAAAAATTTAAAAAATAATTCCTCAGTACCTCTGTCTGCTGGGTGGTGTGGTGTGGTCCTCTGCCAGCTCCCTGCTAAGCTGTGGGAACAGTCCATTTCTTGTTCCAGCTTTCTGTAGATAACTTATTGGACCCCAAAATGTTCATCCCCAATCCTCCCTTCACTTTTGTATTTGGATAATGGCATCTGACAGCAAATGAAAACACATTGTGCATGGTGAACTGCTCCCTTTACAAAGGTTAAGTGGGCATATTCCCCCCCCCCCCCTCTTGTGTATGTAGTGGGGAGAGTTCACACACAGCTTATTTTACCATATCTTAGGGCAGCATCAGGTTGAAATGTGTTTTCCAATGACAATCATGTCATTCAGCTGACCACCCTGATGTTACTGCTGTTTTGAACATGTTAATAACAGGCCAGGTTTTTAGTAAAACTATTTACCTTGCCTAGAAGCCCAGGAAGCAGATCAGTTAGGCTTTGAAAAAACAAAGGTGAGAAAATCCAGGAACGGTTGTCATTTGCCCATTGCTTTCTAACAGAGTAACCATTGTACCTGTCCAGCTGCATAAGTGTAGGACTATTTCTTGTTCCTCTAGTAGTGTAAACTAAATCATATTCTCAGTGAATAAATGTGGAAATTTTTTTTCTGTATAGAATTGCCTCTTCCTAGTTCCCATTCACTGAACGGATTAGACTTCAGCATTCAGTGGTTTCAGTTGCCAAAACCTCAAAGCATAAGAAGGAGCTAATCAACATGTCAGAATTAAAATCACTTGTCTTGGTCAGAGGCAGCATATCCTGTCCATGTTTTAGCATGCTTATAGTAGAGAAGGTGGCTTTGCTGAGTCTCGGGACTTCCTGTTTGATTCAAGAAGTTTCAGAGCAAAAACAGAGTCATAGTGTGTGCTCGTAATTCCTTTTAGGTCACAAGCATAGAATCATAGCATCACCTAGGTTGGAAAGGACCTTTCACTCATCCAGTTCTAACCAGTATTCTATAGTAGTAAAGAGCACCTCAAAAGTACATCTTATTAATTTTTCTGAGGCTTTGGCAATTCTGGAACATCTGGCTTCTCAAGTTTAAAGGCACTACACCAAATATATCAGCTGTTCAGGAAATGAGATTAAAACAAAATGAAACACAATCCAGCAAGAATCCTGAGGGATTTTCCCTAACTTGCCTTCCAGTTTTTCTTTGGCATTGATACCTGTGTGTTTTAGGGTGGGAAGGTGGCCGAGTGGCGTGTTGCTGGAGAGCAAGAGCCTGCCTGCACAACGCAGTAGGCAATGGCCCACCTCTGGGAAGGGGCTGAGATGACTCTAAGCAGAGAGGCCCAGCCCAGCTTTTGCCTTCAGTCATTTCTGAGGGTCTCGGTTCTTGCAATGTTTTCTTGTCAGCCAAGTGCCCAGGGGCTGACATGGCTAATGAGTTGAATCTTGATCAGCATTTTATAATTAAAAAAAAAAAAAAAGGAAAGGAAAGCATTCCTGTTCCCTGTTAAAAAGGCGACATCAGCCTCTTTTATGAACTTTATCTCACTGCTACTTTTAAAGTGCTAGTGTTGTTGGCATAGGCATTGTGGTGAGAATTAGCAAACACCCTGGTGACAACAAGTCATCGTCTAGGGCATCTTTTTAATGAGATTTAACAAAACCGTCAGCAAGTCAAAATTTATGCAAATGAGTGCAAATTCACATATTCCAAAAGGATTACAATATCATTAATGTGGGCATTAAATATTTAAACAATATCTCTATGAAAGAATTATGAGCCTTCAAAGCTTGTCTGTGTTTTATGACCACATTAAAACAGTTGTAATGACATCTTCTATGCTGAGACTAGGAATTATCTTTTTTTAAATATCAGACGATGATCATGCTCAAAGCCACCATTCTACCCACAGGTTATGGTCTCCCTGTCTGTTGTTAGCCAGATCTCAACTCAAATGGATGTTTCACATTAGATGAGGCAAGGGTGAACCATGCATCACTGTGAACGTGCCCACACCTATTGAAAAGCAAAACAGAATAAGCATTATGAGCTGTTGAGAGTCGATCTGCCACTGGCTTCTAGAGTCAGAGATCATCCATGCATGTGCTTTGTGCATATTGTAGAATTCAACCTGCTGGAAAGCAGATAACTTTTTCCTGGCTATAGTAGATGCTATCCCTACAAAGAGTTTGAAGACTTACCATGCCCTGTGCAAGCCTCCTCAAGCTTCAGCTGTCTTCCTCTGCTTTGCAAGCAGCTGCTCATCTTGTGCTTGTTCTCCAAAGGAGACCTTCCACCAGAGCTTTGTACAGGCAGAGGTGAATTTAGTGCCAGGTGCTGGTGCAGCCAGGCAGTGTGAGTGCTTGTTCAGTCTGGAGGTTCCTTACATAATTAGTCTCATCCACGCTTTATTTATATATCCAATACTCAGTCTCAGTCGTGTCTGATACTGTGCCTTCCTCTCTACACCAAACTGAAGCTTAGGTGCCTAGTGGTACATATAGTCATGTTCTATAGCCAATTAAAGTTAAGTGAAAAGTCCTGATTTTTTTAAAATGCTTCAGAATAACTTGATGGAAACAATACCTTGCCCCTCTTAGCCCCTCTGAATGTCTGCCCATATTCTGTGCTAAGAGCATGAGCATGAACAGAAGGATTTTGAGAACGTCTCAGCTGAAAGAATAGTTTGCAGAGAAAAGCTGGCCATGATCAGTCCCCAAGACAGATGGAGATCAAGCTAGTTATTTTGTACTTCAAACCATTGCTTCTCCTGACAGCATTTTTTAAGTGTTTAAAATAAGCTGGTCCTGTAGCTGTGATTTGATTCAGTCAATTGCCAATGAAATGACTTGGGTGAGTAGGTAGTTTGAGTTGCCTTGAGATCTGCTGAGCCCAGCATTACAGGGAGCTAATGCAAGGAAGGTAGGTGAAGGTTTAGCAGATGTTGTATTAGCCCATGATTGGTGCTTTTCAAGAACAGTGCCTTACTATGCTTAGCAGCTGCAGATAATAGGAAGTATTGTGACTTTAATACCAACTTAGTTATCATGTGAGTCATTAGTGTTTCTTTAGTTGGGGCTAGTAGTTTTTGCTGGTTTTTTCTCCTGAGGACTTGGCAGTCAACCATGTCACAATATGGATGACACATGGTAGGAGGAATTGGCTGTGGAAGGGAAGAGTGGAGAGAGAGCAGTAGGCGTTTGGTCTGAACGCACAGGGCTGAGTTGTTAGCATTGTTGCAACATCTCTCTGTAAACCATCCTCTTCATAAGAAGATAGTTTCATTGTTTTATTTTAAAAGCCAGTGTGTGAATCCTGAAACCCCACACCTGAAAACAAGGGTAGTCTGGACTGTGCAACCCTATGACTGTCAGAAAGAGATGAGCTGCAAGCCTGTGTTTCATGGGCCCTAAACAGTTTCCTTAGGATGGACAAGGTTTCAGACATTGCAGCATTGCTTATTTTCATTTTCGACACCAGTACAAAAGAGTGCAAGATGTAGAACAATACAATCTGCCCAAGCACTTCAGCTACTGAGGTTTTTTTACTTGCTTAAAGATGGTCAGATGCTATGAAAATCAATTATGACTAATCCCATTGATTTCTTAATTTATTTCTTTTAATCAGCAATCTGTTTTCTGTAACTACAGGAACCATTAAGTGACTGGTACATGATGTAATGAAATACAACATATCAATGATCCCCTACATCAATTAGTGATCCTTTAATGAATGATGGAACCGGACCACAACTCTGCTTGGTTTGGTTGTGGTTCGGATTTAAAATTTATTTTCTCTGCTTAATGGCCAAATAATTAATGATGAATCAATACGTGACATTTCTGTTAAATCCTAGGAATCCTGCTATAATGCCTAGGAAGGACAATTGTAATTATTTCAGCTCTTGCATGAATAATAGTTGCTAGGAGGCTAAGCAATAGATCTCTATTCTTGCTTTGCCAGCTATAGGTTTCCTGTTCATTAGCATATCCACAAGTACAGACAGCAACTGGGAGTTGGGGGATAAAGCGGCAATGACATCTGAAAGCTAGAGGCAGTTATTTACTGTAATGTCAGCTGTGAGATTTTATGTGATCTATTGAAAACCGTGTGGCAGATAAAGACAGAAAGCTGAAAGGTTATACACAACGTTTGATGTAACTCAAAATTATTACTTAAATATTTATTTATACACATCTGTTCTTCTTGTGAGTGGATTGCAGATATGTCCAATAGCCACCCCTACACCAGTAACCATTCCTCTCCCCTTGCTGCTAAGTACAAGCCCCAGAGCTTGTCAGTTTTTTGACCACTGCTTTTTTTAATAGTGCACTGCGCAAATTCAGAAGTGTTTGGTTTCAAGTCAGACATTAGGAAAAGGTTTCTAGCTGTAGGATTGTTCAAGGATTAAATTGTTTGAGGAATTGGTAGGATCTTTATCACATGAGGTAACAGACTTTCTCAGAAATGGTTCAGGGAAGGTTGATCCTGCCTTGGGGCAGCAAAGAGACTAGATAAGCTCTTGCAGCTCCTTCTTGCCCTAGTTCCTATGAATTTGTTGAATGTTTGTTGAATTTTCTCAGTTGTGTATGTAAACTGAAAAATCTGGTTCTGAACCTTGATAAATATTGTTCCCTCACATGGAAGGCATTGGGTCACACCCAGGAAAACCAGCCCAGTTTTCTGTGGTGATAGCAATTTTAGGTGCCATAGAGGCAGGAGGCGTTTTGGACAGTATATTTTTGCTTTGCCAAGTTTGGTAATTGGATTGGGTTGATCCTACTGCATAAAATCTTGCTGCAAAATCCTTGATGCTTATTCTTTGTCTTCTGAAACTTGGATTCCAAAATGTGAGGTTAACTGCATTTTGTTGGTTCCTGCATGCCAGACAGGCAATGACTGCTAATGCAGTTTTGAAACAAACACAAGCCAGCAAAATGTCACTCCTTCATTTGAAGGAGGGGAAGTCGTTCAGATGACTCCTCTCAATGAATCTATCTCAAGTTGTTCTGCCTGTCCCGGAGGGGAATTGGTGGTAGCTCTGTTTTCAGGTTTTCCCAGCCGAGCAGAGGACAAGCACGGATAATTAGATCTGCACTATTCCTCTGCAGGCTGCTCAACTGCAGAACAAAAACTAGGTCTAAAGAGAGAGAATCTTTTCTGTGTTTCTTCCGTCACCTTTGCAGAAGTAGTACCACTCTAATGTCTCTCGCTCCCCTTAGGTTTTTTCCTGCTATTTCCTAGGTGATCTTTATTGCTGGAGCCTCTCCTGAGGAGCCTTTTTATGCAACTGAGAGCTGTGGGCCATTTCGAAGGTTTTCTCTGTGCACTTTGCAGTGCTTGGAAGAGGAATGCATCAAGGTTCTTCAAGTCTTCTAGTCTCCTGGTTACTTTTTTCCTCCCCTGATTGTTGTAGATCAGTTTGTTGATTTACAAGTAATTAAACATTGATTCCAGGACACTCTGTTGCTCTGGCAGATGCATTCAGCAAATTAAGTTTAGAAAACCTTTTCTGTGCTAGCCCAGCATAGCTGCTATAACATAACAAGGCTGAAAATTGGTAGGACCTTCAGGTACGATGTGAGCAGGGAGAACTTCCGAAGCAGTTTCTTGATATACAACCCGTATTAGTGTTTCCTATTCATAACTAAGGTAATTGTGTGCTTGTGCTCTGCCATGACAAGAGGGTGTTCGTTGCTGTTCTAACAAACTCTTCTAAGAGTAACTGATGTCCTGTGGAAGAGCTGCCATGGGAGCTGTCTAGGAGAATTTTTGCTTGCTTGATCTGTTTTGTAAAGAAGAGAGTATTACTGTTGCTGGATCTAAGGATCCAAACCTAAGTCCACTGTGAAAATAGAATTGAGCCCTGATACCTGATTTCTACCTGAAAAAAGGAATCGAATCTAAGTCTCGAATCTAAGACAGCAAAGTCAGTTTACTTCCCTGTCCTCAGTAGATATGAGGAAATGTTCAAACCTTTGTGATGAATGAAACTGGATCTCTGCTGTGGTGCCAGAAGTGGGCAAAAATCAATGTTGGCAGCTGCTACCCATTTCCAGTAAAAAACAGGACTGCACACAGAGACAGTGGGAATTTTAGCAGGTTGTCAGCATTGACTACTGTGCTATTTTTCTTACTTCTTTGCTTTCCTGCTGTTGATGCAAAGTTGTTTTGCTTTGTGCGTATATATGTATAAAAACAAATAACCCAAAATAAATTAGGACAGTACACATTGTCTTCCCTTTGCTTTGATCAGGTTGTAATTTCTCTAGAGCTGTCCTGATTAAATCAGAATGATAATAAATTGAAAGGGCTGGTGTATGATCTGTAAGACTTCTTCAGGTCTTAAAGGGGGGAGAGAAACATCCAAAGAACCAAGAAAAGGTGGTTTACTGTTTCATTATCAAATAATACTGTCTCTTACTAAAACAGAGGAGGATATTGTCTCTGGGGATGTGTGCTATAGGATTTTGTAACTAGGTAGGAAGTGCCAGTTCTCCATCCTTACTAACCTGTTTCCTGTGTCCAGTATTTCACAGTGAAACGCCATTGCAGTGGCAAGCTCTGCAGGGAAACACAGGGCCTGGGACTCCTTGCATCAGCATCTGGTGCCCCTTGACCTTCCTAGGAGAAGGGCATTTTGTTTCCATCATCCATTTAGCACTCTTGGTAAATGTGAGATGACTGCAGAGAGGATAGCTGTAGCATAGATCTGGAAGGACTGGGCTCTGCAATGTTTGGGGTATTTTCTCTGCAGAAATGTTACTGTCTTTTTGGACTATTCTCTGCCAAGGCCCCCCAGGTGCTCAGGTTCCAATGAGGATACAAAGCTGAGCTGGCACTGTGTCAGCTCAGGGAGGCAAAGGAGTGGGAAGAATGTGGCAGGAGAGAATCTGAGGTCTTAAGCAAGTACTAAAAATCAGCTACAAAGGCATAATCTCTGTAAAAGCTGCTCCCAGAGTACCCTGACTGTGTTTCTATTAATAACCACTACATCTGCAGAGAAGGAAAATAAA